TTTAATGATTGAAGCCATATCGGCCGGTGTGTCTAGTCTTACTGTCAGTTGAATAGGAGGCTTGATTAGGCCACCGGTGCATGGTTGTTTGTACATCCACACTGCCTGAAATGCGTAGGCCACTAATATTCGAATACAAATGCCTCATATCCAAGATTGGACGTAGGAGTAGCCCGTGTTTATGAATTTTTTTGGAATGTCGTACATTCTGAGTATTGTCGTGTCCACAGGTCTCATATTTTTGTCAGACAACTGACTTTTGTAGAGAACCTTGACAACCGTCGTCAGCTGACCTTCGACGGCCTCGGTGCGGTCCATGTCTCTGTCAGATTTCGAGAAAATCCGACAAAATTTCCTCCAGTTTCGCCACGTTATCCTTTCTATCCATTAATACAACTCCCGGCCTGGCTAACAATCTTTTCGTTTTTGCAAAGTTCCCTAAAGCTATCAGGATGGACCCTTGTCAGGGGACCTTTGCTTCTTGGAGGCTTCCTTAATTACTGTTGACAACAGCTGACCAGTCTACTTAAGATAATCAGCTTCTCCAGGTCCGCTAGGTTTTAGATCGGTGGTCTGACTAACTAGACTCCCGAGTTGGATTTCTAACTCTACCAGCTTCGACATCCGCCGTACTTTCTCATCTATTTTCTGCACGGCTCTATCAATGTCAGGGCGAGCGTTTGACTCACATTGCACCTTCTCGTAATAATTACACCGTCCGTCTTTTTATCGTCATTTTCGGCAGGCAACTGTGCTTGAAGAAATGCCTCCCTTCCCTGAACGCGACTCCAGCATCCTTGCGAAGTTGAAGGCCAAGAAGCCTGCAACGGAATCAATATCGGGACCTAAGACGGAACGAAGTGCCCAAAAGTCGCCTAACACAACAGCTGACGCGAAAGCCGGTGCCAGTGCTGTACGTTGCCACCCCCTTTGTTCTCCATTAATCGCTGATAAAGTATGCCTTCCCCAAAGGTATCCTCTTGACAAACAAAATGAAAGGCGAAGGCGACAAAGCATGCAGAATTTAATGACGTTCATAAGCATCACAACCGCCATCCCAGTTAGACCAGCTAAAGACATTTTGCCTATGCACGCCACATCAAACTGTATTTATGAGTTTACATGTAGTTGCGGATGCAAGTACATCGGGCGCACGCAAAGGCAATTGGCAGCTCGGTCAGCTGAACACATGCCGAAGTGGCTGCTTAAGGCGGAAAATAAGGTACCCAGAAGCTCAATCACAAAGCACCTATTGGACACGGGCCATACGGTGGACCAAATGGTTGCATTTAAGGTCCTGTTTCGGGCGACGACCGGGCGTATCTTGCGCTTTGCAGAGGCCGCTGCAATACGGAGGAGGAAACCCGAACTCTGTAAGCAGCTGGACCATGTGATAAACCTGGCACGCCATGGTAATTATCGATTATGGACGAAACCCTGTTCCCATGTATGCCCTATCATTTCGCCCCCACCCGCGCCCCCCCCCCCTCTCCCCGGCATGACTGAATGCTCCCCGCACGTTGCACTCCAAATCACGCCGCACCAGTTCTCTCATACTTGGATGACTTCTCTCCCCCTCCCCCTTCACTATATGCACCCGCATACTAGACCCACTTTTCAGTTTACCTATCACGTTTAAGCTCTCTAGGTCGATCGTTGATTGAACAGTTTTGCCTTGTAATATAACTATGCAATGACCGTGTGCAGCTGAATGAGAGGTCTCGAAATTTATGACGTCATTAAATTCTGCATGCTTTGTCGCCTTCGCCTTGTTCAAATTTATCCCGGGAAAACACTGCTTCAAAATGAAAGGCCTTGCATTACAACTGTTCATCATGTTGCTTTGGATTTGTTGGATTTGTTTTCCCACCGATGGGGTTTCCTTTTATACCATTTTGATTTTAACGAAAGGAAAGAGGAAATCAAATCGCAGCCAGGTTGGTTTAGTTTGCAAACCTTCCCTAAGTACGCCGGACGGTTTTCTCCTGAGATCTCATTTTTCCACTCACTTTGTTCCACGAGACTCATCGGCAGTCTTGCACAGCCCTCCTTTTTGTTCGTTCAATTTATCCTGTGAACTCATTTGTTTTCCCGATAGTCTGTCTCGATTGTGGGTGTTATATCCCCATGTCAGGCTTTTGTTTGCCGACGTTGACTGTTTTTTTTTCAAAATTCGGTACTAGCTCATGACAGTGGCACCAACTTTGAGTTTTAATTCAATTATTAATAGCTTGCTGCTGCATACCGGCGCGAACTACTGTCTGAGAACTCATCAGTTATTTGGGAGCCCTTATGTTTGCACAAAGTAAAGCTTTTTCGCTGTGCTTCTACAAAGCCTTTGCGTCAGTTCCCCTTTTGTGAGCCCCGAGGGACAGCTGAAAGTGCAGTTTTATTTAGCCAGTCGACATCTTCGATCGTCAGGGGGTAAAAACCGACTAACGTCCGCTTCCTGTCGTTTATTTCACCTAGTCCTCCCCCAGTCTTAAATCAACCGATGGGTGGAGAGGAGGAAGGGGGTGGGGAGCGAGCAGTTAGTTCACCTTTACTTCTCTACCACTCCCGTCCTCAATCTCCCTCCATGTCCTCATCATGAGCTCGCGCGACCTCGAGTATCGTGTTCTAGTCATCCTCGCATTCCTCGCCTTTAAGACAGACAGGGGTGACCGTCTTTTAAAGTCCTTTTATTGGGTAGGCTACAGTAAGTGTGCTAACTCATGAAATGTTAACCGAAATTCTTAAATGCGTTTTCGTTGCGAAAAGATTACTTAAGTAGGGTTGTAAAATTAATCATCATGCAGCGCGATTCAATAATAATTCAGCTACCTCAGGATGCCGGTTTTCGAACAAACTTCTTTCCGGCCGCATGCAGAAACCATACTGTAAAAAATGACTACTTAAGTAACAAAAGTCTTCTTATTGATTTATGACGCCCTCAAAAAGTCAAATATATTTTATGGAAAATATGCATAAATATTCATTATTTTACTCATTTGGTAGAAAATTACGTCTTCTTCCAATTTTGTACTCGAAGAAAGAGTATAATTCAGTTTTCAAAACTGTTCCAATTCCCGAATAATTTTCAACACAACCGGCCGTTACACATGCATTAAGGGTTCCCAAACTACTAGCCGTATATTTTCCGCGAGTGTGGTTTCTGCATGCGGCTGGAAGGAAGTTTGTTCGGAAGCCGGCCTCCCGAGGTAACTTAATTATTATAGGATCATGCTGTATGATGATTAATTTTGCAACCCTACTTAATTGGTATTTTCGAGGCGAAAGCGCATTTCAGAATTTCGGTTGACATTTTATGGGTTAGCGCCCATGAACAGCCCATCGCGTCTAGTATTTTCCAACTTGTATATGTCAGTATAACGATCCGAAGAAAGGGACCCCCGGGAGCTCCGGAGTTGGAGCATCAATTTTTAACCCCCTACTGCGATTCTGGGCAATTTTCTTAGTTAACTGCAAACTTACTGTTCCTCGTAACCGTGTGTTTTTTGTTTATGAGTGTAGACAAAGGATACTTCCAATGCTGGCAACCTTGCCATCGAGGGAGACCTCCTGGGCCTTGGTATCCCCGCCCCGACGACACCTGCGGTGTCATCGTCAAGTGTTGCGGCCGCAGGTAGCGGCGCTCCCGCCCCAGTCAACGCATCGGATTCCAATTTACTCATTGACATCCTCGGCAACGGCATTATGGAGACATCCTCCGCCGTTGCCACTGCCCCTATTAATCCCTCAACGACTACCCTTGATTCAAACACTATCATGTAAGTTCTCGTCTAGGAGGACTTCTCATGTCTTTCCGCTTTTCCCTTGATCATCATACCAACAGGTATGCCTCTTTTGGGCCTGTGTTTGAATGGACGAAATTTCGACCCTAAAGATGGAGAACACGCAGTCACCGGAAGGAATTTGTATTTGCCAGAACGCATTGCCACCGAGTTTATCGTGGGTGTTGCCCATCGTGCGGCAACTGCCATGCTTACTATAGTCTTGCAAGTGAAGGACCGACATAACGCGGGTGAGCAATCAGGTGTGGTTCGCCAGATCCCATGCAACGACTGTCCTTGCTATTACACGGACCAGACAGCGGGACAACCTTCCCTACGACTACATGAGCACAATAAACACAGTGATATGCCCCTTGCTAACGCTGTGCTCACACGGCCCAGTTCCCATCCACGGACACATGCTCACCAAACTGTGGGTTAGACGGTGTGCATTCAGCGCAGCTACACACGAGAACAGCTACCTCCCTCGACCTTGTCAGACTACAAAGCTGTTCAGTTGTTATCTAGGAAGAAGTACCGACAATGTTAAGGGAGACTGAAATGACCGCTTTTGGCTTATAAGTCGCCGTCATATAGCCTTACTCAACCCTACGCTTGCCGGATCTGGAATTCGAACTCCGGTTCTCTGCTCATTTTTTGTAGCGTAGTCCTGTACTCTATCATTGAGACATAGACCCGTTGTGCTCTCGGTCGCGGTCGGAAATATTCGCGATCGTAGTAGGTAAGTTCACCGATCAGGCTGTTTTGGTACTTTCATAGTCTCTGTAGCTGTATTCCTGTACGAGTCCGAAAGCTCGCACTAATACAGCCGCCTTTGCGATGATCGCATGTCCTTATTTTCAACACGTACCCATGGTTTGAATTCTCGTCTCTATTCGTGGAACCTTCTACTCTTGCATGCCGGTTTGGTGTTGAAGCCCAAATGTGATAAAATGGACTCCATTTCCAACTGTTACTGTTGCTGCGGTCATCCCACCTGCCTATGATCCGTATGGTTGCGATCATGTATGGACCATCGGACCTCCA